TGGGGCGTCACCTTGAGACCTAGGTCTCTGATGGTACTACCACCGATACCAGTGCCGTCTCCGCTAGGAGGCGGGCTTCCCCCCAGCTCTCCCCCCCAGCTATCACTAATGTGTCGTCCGCGTAGCAGACGACGTGGCAGCCGAGGGGAAGCGGAGTGCGTAGCACCCGGTCGAACGCGATGTTCCATAGCAGGAGGCCGAGGACCGACCCCTGCCGAACACCGCGCTCCATTGCGCGCCGGCCCTGGACCCCGCCTTCCATCGGGAAGGCGAGGTCCCTGCCCCGAAGTAGGCCGAAATGATTCGCCGGAGGTAGCGGGCACCCCGTGGTGTTCGAGGGCCCGCCCAATCTCCGGCCAGGGCAGGGTGTTGAAGGCATTTGTTATGTCCAACGAAACCGCCAACAACACCCCGCCCTCCTCCACGACCGCCTGGGTCAGGTCCCGGAAGCATTGGATAGCATCCAACGTCGATCTTCCGGGCCTGAACCCGTATTGGTCGTGGAGGTCCGGCCCCTCCGAGGACAGATGCTGGACGAGGCGGTCGGCAACGATGTGCTCCAGCATCTTGCCCGCCTCGTCCAGCAGGCATATCGGCCTGTAGGCCGACGCACTCCCGGGTGCTTTGCCCTCCTTGGGAAGGAGGACCAATCTGGCCCTCCTCCACTCTGGGGGGAATACCCCTCCTTAAGACACCTGCTGAAAACCCTGCGCGTGGCTTCGGACAGGTTTCCCTCGCCGAAGGCGAGGGCCCAGGCCCGGCCAGGAATTCCGTCGGGGCCAGGGGCTTTCCCCTTGGCCCCGAGCCTTTTCCTGGCCGCAGTGAGCTCCTCTGGACTCACCGCCAGGCCCTCGTCCCAATCACCCTCCCCAACGGTGGGGTCGGGATCTTGGGGGGGCCCCCTTCTGCCCTCGAAAAGAGGGTATCCAGGAACCCCTCGAGGGTCTGGCGGTCTAATGTCTCCGTTGGTGGGGGCGCCTATGGTCGGATCTTACCCATGACCCTTTTGTATGGGCGCCCCCACGGATCATCATCCAGGAAGCTCACTATCCGCTCCCAGGCCGCTCGCTTAGCCTCGACGATGCCGATCTTGAGGGTTTTCCTGGCATTCAGGTAGCCCTCTTTTGTCCTTGCGACATCCCCGCCTCGTCGCCGGGCCCGATAGTACTCACGTCCGGCATGGACGGAGGAGTCTCGGAGCGCCTTCAGCTCCTCCGTCCACCAGTACATGGCCCGACGCCGGCGGGGGTGGGATTGGGGCATCGCGACGTCGCATGCCGACGCCACAATGCCCACTATTTCCCCAGCCCCGTTCGCGGGGCTGGGATCCCACTCACCTGGCCCACGTCTAGGTGCCAGGTGGCCGCAAGGACGGCCGCCCGAAACCTGTCCGAATCGAGTCGATTAAGGGCCCATCTTTTGGGGAGGGGAAAGCTCCCCTCTCCTGGGCAGCGGGCCAGCACCTGTGCGGGTTTGGGGAGGCGGAGGACCCACGCTATATGTCTGTGATCAGACAACAATTCGCCCTCCGCCTCCACCCTCCATTCCTGGAACAACCCCGCGGCCGAGGGGGTGGCCCAGGTCAAATCTATGACCGACCCCCCCCCTGGCCGCATACAGGTGCTGGTTCGTTGAGCCCCTGTTCGTTAACAGGAGGCCCAGCCCCGCTGCCCAGCCGGTCACAGACTCGCCCCGAGGGTCCCTTTGCCGGGGACTGCGACCCCATCCTTCCGAGTGGGCGTTGAAGTCCCCGGCAATCACGACAGGTCGGGGATGCCACCTACGTACCAGTTCCCCGATCCTGTCGAGGACCCTCTTCACTGGGGCGAGCTCCCCGAGACCGGCCTTGTTCCTGTGGTGGGGGAGATACACCCCCACCACAGTGATAGGCCCCAATCGACCGCCACGTACGAGGACCCGTTCTCCCTGAAAGCACAGGGAGGGGTCCCGCCGCAGGGTTATATATGTCAAACACTTTACTACGTCAAACTATAGTATGTCAAACTAAAATAAATATCTCTTTAGTTTTATTATCATAATTATATGATATAAAATAATAAGAAATATAAAATAATAAAATATATATAAAAGGGAAAGCTATAAATATACTATAAAAACTATAAAAAACTATAAAAAGAAAAACAAAACGAAACAAGTGTAAAACTATCTTGAACGTTATAAATATTATTTCTTTAAATATTCTTGAAATAGTGTCAAAAATTTATTTTTTATTTCTATATTTTCATTATGATGCCTCTCTCTTTGTTCATAAAGCTTTTCATAATATGAAGCTAAATCTTCCTTTCTTGAACGTTTATTGACATGTCTTATAATATTAGAATTTTTGGGTGCTACATTTTCTTTTTCTCCGTCGGATTCAATATTTTCTACAGTTCGTTTGTGCAGGCGAAATCCATGTGTGCTTGAAGCCAATGATATGGGTTGTATTTCGGGTGTGGTATTCATAAAATCGTCTATTATATCAAAATATTCCCATGACGTTTTAGCTCTACCAGTCTTATTGTTTGCATCCAGTACTGATTTGTATTTTTGTTTTAGATTTTTCCATTTAATACAACATTGTTCGTCAGTAACTTTGTAACCTTTTTTATAGAAGTTACTCGCTATTTCCTTCCATACTTTTTTTTGGATGGTCGATTTTTTGTTTAAATTTAAAATATGCTGTCTGACTTCTTCTATTAGAAGTTTTATTGTTTGCATAGTCCATCGATATTTATCATTTTCTGTATGAAAAATATAAAAAATTTATTACAACTTAATAATCTCTCCATATATATTGTGAAAGATAATTGTGCAAAATATTAATTTTTTTATTTCAAAAACAAAACATTTAAAAAGACAGATTGTATTAATATATAATTAGTTTACTTATAGAACAATTAAAATCTGTGATGGTACACAATATTTTAAAACTATTTCAAAATATTTCATAAATATTTTATAAATACAGTAAGACTAGTAGAGCTAAAACGTCATGGGAATATTTTGATATAATAGACGATTTCATGAATACCACACCCGAAATACAACCCGTATCGTTGGCTTCTAGCACACATGGATTTCGCCTGCATAAATGAACTGTAGAAAATATTGAATCTGACGGAGAAAAAGAACGAACTGTAGAAAATATTGAATCCGACGAAGAAAAAGAAAATGTAGCACCCGAAAATTCTAATATTATAAGACATGTCAATAAACGTTCAAGAAAGGAAGATTCAGCTTCATATTATGAAAAGCTTTATGAACAAAGAGAGGGGCATCATAATGAAAATATAGAAATAAAAAATAAATTTTTGACACTATTTCAAGAATATTTAAAGAAATAATATTTATAACGTTCAAGATAGTTTTACACTTGTTTCGTTATGTTTTTCTTTTTATAGTTTTTTATAGTTTTTATAGTATATTTATAGCTTTTCCTTTTATATATATATTATAATTTTATATTTCTTATTATTTTATATCATAAAACTATGATAATAAAACCAAAGAGATATTTATTTTAGTTTGACATACTACAGTTTGACGTAGTAAAGTTTTAGTATTAGTTTTTCCTTTTATATATATTTTATTATTTTAATGCTGTCTAAGATAATAATAATCCAGTAAACATCAAATAAAATTTACGTTAATGTAATAACGTTAATGTAACATAACTTTTACTTGGTGTTTACTGGGAAATATTGTCTTTTCAATAATATGATATACTACATGGGCTGAAAAGTCTTTGGCCTGACATATAGATGGCGCCACAAACTAAAAATCCTTATATTTCCTATAGAGTACCAACCTTAACTTAGATGCTGTAAAAATTTCATGATATTTCGTTGACTCGTGTACAAGTTATAGCTTTCGAAGTGACGTTACCTCTGAATTTATCTTTACTATGGAAAAAAGTGAATTTCGTGTTTTGATTAAACATTGCTTCCTGATGGGAAAAAACACTGTTGAAGCAAAGGCATGGCTTGATAAATGTTACGGCACATCTGCCCCACCGAATTCAACCATCAAATATTGGTTTGCTGAGTTTCGTCGTAACCGTACGAGTACAAATGATGCACCACGTTCAGGAAGGCCAAATGAGGCAGTTACTCCAGAAAACATCCAGAAAATCAGTGAAATCGTGTTGAATGACCGCAAAATGAAATTGAGTGAGCTAGCTAACATCATAGGCATCTCAAAGGAACGCGTTGGTCATATCATTCATGAATATTTATACATGAAAAAGCTTTGCGCGCGTTGGGTGCCGCGTTTTTTGACAATTGAGCAAAAAGCGGAACGTGTTCGACTTTCAAAGCAAAATCTGGCCCTGTTTAACCGTAATAAGAAGGAGTTTTTGCATCGATTTGTCACAATGGATGAAACATGGATCCATCACTACACACCGGAGTCCAATCGGCAGTCAGCGGAGTGGTTATTGCCTGGTGAAAGCCGTCCGAAGCGCCCGAAGACACAACAATCAGCCGGCAAGGTTTTGGCCAGTATTTTTTGGGATGCGCATAACATAATATTCATTGATTATCTTGAACATAGTAAAACTATCAATAAAGAATATTACTGTACATTACTGGATCGATTGGACGACGAGGTCAAGGTCAAACGGCCACATTTGGCAAAGAAAAAAATTTTGTTTCACCAAGACAATGCTCCAGCTCACTCGGCACGACCGATAAATTAAAGAAATTGCGCTATGAATTGGTCCCGCATCTCCCGTATTCTTCAGACCTGGCCCCCAGCGACTATTTCCTTTTTCCCTGACTAAGCAGTGGCTCGCTGGTAAAAGATTTTACTCGAATGAGGAGGTCAAGTTGGAAACAAATGCCTATTTTGAGGGTCTTGACACCGAGCACTATAAGACCGGCATCGAAATGTTAGCGGACCGTTACACTAAGTGCATTACTCTAAATGGAGATTATGTCGAGGAATAACACACTTTTTTCATTAAAAAATCGTTTTTTCATTGTTAAGCCAAAGACTTTTCAGCCCATGTAGTATATACCGTATTGATCCTGTTCACATAGGTTTTCCTCTTGTACACATGCCATACTGATTTTCAAATATCTAAAACAATGATTATTTTGATATACTTATATGCTAATAATTGAAGTAGACGCAGATAAACTAATAGACTAGCATAAATACGTCAAGATACATCATTATACAAACAGAATTTTGTTAATATGTAAAAGAAGGCATCTGATGCCATGAAAATTGTGTCAATATTGCAAAAATTTTCTATTGTCATAAAAATTGCTACCAATATGCTGGCAAAAAAACTAAATTAATACTAAATTATTGTAGTAATAAAAAGACCATACTATGTTCAGTATTCTGTCTATCCGAGGAGTGGCAGGTTATTCATTATAGTCTTTTTTTTTTTTGTAACGCAGGGGAAATCCATCATGGATACCCCCTCCCCTTGGGGATGGAGGGGGTTATGTCGGACTCTTACCGACTAAAACCCCTGCGGAATGTCTACCTGTCGGGCCGTTGGGTGGGGAGTTAGGGGAACTGCTCCCGCATTCCCTCCCCAACCCCCCGGCCCCAGGGCTCTCCGGGAACCCCACGCCATCTATGTACCGCGCCCTGTCCCACTGAGGGAGTCCAGGGCGCGGTCCCCGGTGGGTTGCCCCACTGAGGGAGTCCAGGGCGCGGTCCCCGGTGGGTTGCCCCACCGGTTGGCCTTCTGGTCACACCTATTAGGTGGAAGGGGGACACCCACCCCTTCTCCTTTGCCCACCCCTTCTCCGTCCCACGCCTCCTCGCTCCCCCCTTCGGCACCTCACCGCCCCCTCGAGGGCACGGTGCTCCCCGTCCCATGCCGAGCATGTGGGCAGGGTGTGATGCGCCGTGTCCTCGAGAATAGGGCAGTGATGGCATCGAGTGGTGGGCTCCTTTCTTATCTGGTGCAGATACCGACCGAAGCAACCATGCCCGGTCAGCATCTGCACCAGGTGGAAAGTCATTCCACGTCCCCTCCTGCCTGTCACCTCAGACAGGCAGGGGCGGACAGCTGCGGCCGTCTTGGGACCGGACACTTTCGGGTCGGACAACTCGTCCGCCCACTTCCGTAGTGTCCGGTCCCTGGCTTGGAGTTTCAGGGCCTTCATGTCCCTGGCCCTTAGCGTCCCCTCCGCGCGGAGCTCCTTCACTCGCCAATAGAGGATATACCTCTCGTCAGCGAGGAGCTCCACGGGAGGGACGCCGGCCAGGGTGGTCGCCGCCATGTATGACACGGTCCGATACCCTCGAATCGCCCTGATCAATACTGGCCTCAAGGCCTGCCGGAGGGAGCGTTTTCTCCTCCGGCAGACCAAGAGGCTGGGCGCCCATATGGGCGCCCCGTATAAGGCGATCGAGAGCACGGCCGTGACATACAGGCGGCGTATCATCCATCCCGGACCCCCCTGGGCGCGCATCAGGCTGGCGACAGCCAAACCCGCCTTGCGCACTCGGGGGGCCAGGTTCCCAAAGTGGGGCCCGAAACTCCAACGGCTGTCCAACGTCAGGCCGAGATACTTTATCGTCGGCCCGACGTGGACGTGAACGCCATCCACAAGGACTTGTGTCTCCGGGGACGTCCCGGAGCCCCGGCCAGGGGCTATGCCCCTGACTCCGAGCCTCTTCCTGGCCCTGTTGAGCTCCTCTGGACTGACCTCCAGGCCCTCGTCCCAATCTCCCTCCCCCATTTCTGGGGAGGGAAACGGGTGGGCCTCCTTCTGCCCTCGGCAAGAGGGCATCCAGGAGCCCGTCGAGGGCCTGGTAGTCCATCTGCTCGGTCGGTGGGGGCGTCCAAGGGCGGACCTTCCCGGTCACCCTTTTGTAAGGGCGCCCCCACGGATCGTCGTCCAGGGAGCTCACCAGTTGCTTCCAGGCCGCTCGCTTTGCCTCGGCGATGGCGGCTTTCAGGGCCTTCCTCGCCCGGAAGTATTCCCCTTTTGCCTCCGTGACATCCCCATCATCCCGCCGGGCCCGTGTTAGCAGCATCCTGGCTGCGATGGTGGAGCATCTGAGCTTGCGAAGCTCCTCGCTCCACCAGTACGTTGCCCGGCGGGAGCGGGGGCGTGATCGGGGCATCGCGACGTCGCAGCATGACGTCACGATGCCCACTATTTCCTCGGCCCCTTTGCAGGTGTCGGGGTCCCGCCCCCCTGGCACCTCCTCGAGGTGCCAGGTTGCCACGAGGACAGCCGCCCGAAATCTATCCGCGTCCAGTCGACCGAGGGCCTATCTCTTGGGGAGAGGGAGTTCCCTGTCTCCGGGGCGGCGGATGAGCACCTGCTGGGGTTTGGGGAGGCGGAGGGTCCACACTATATATCTGTGATCAGACAATGATTCCCCCTCCGCCTCCACCTTCCATTCATGGAAGAACCCCGCGGCCGAGGGGGTCGCCCAGGTCAAATCAATGACCCAGGCTCCACTCCCCCCGGCCGCACGCAGGTGCTCTCTGAGCCTTCATTCATTAGAATGAGGCCCAGTCCCGCCGCCCAGCCAATCACGGTGTCCCCCCGGCGGTCCCGTTGCCGGGAACTGCAACCCTTCCGAGTGGGCGTTGAAGTCCCCGGCAACTATGACTGGTCGGGGATGACACCTTCGCACCAGCTCCCCGACCCTATCCAGGACCGCCTTAATTGTGGTGGAACGACCGAGACCGGCCCTGTTCCTGTGGTGGGGAAGATATATCCCCACCACAGTGACGGGCCCCCAGTCGACTGCCACGTACGAGGGCCCTGATTCCCTGAATGTACAGGGTGGGACCCCCAACCTAGAGTTTGCCACCAAGGCCACCGAGCCGTTTGGACCTCCGAACCAGTTCGCACTGCGAACCGGGATCCAGAACGGCTCGGTGACCACCGCCAGCCCGGCGCCCAGCTCAGTCATCCTCTGCATGCAAAGGTCCTGAGCCTGGGCGCCGTGGCCGACGTTGGCCTGTAGGGCCCGGAGTGGCGTGAAGCTTACACCTTGCAAGCCTCCTCCGGACTGCCTACTTCAACCTCCCCCTGGTCACCCACCGACGGCTCAGCCGTCTCGGGTTCCCCGGGGGAGGTTTCGGCCGTGGTGGCCTCTTCAGCGGGTGCCTCAGCAGGTGCCTCCGCGGAATAGCGGGGGGTCCCTACCTGTGCGAGTTCCTCCTCTCGGGAGTACGAGGAGGAATCGGCAACCTGGGGAGATGGGGGTGGCGTTCCCTCCATCTCCCCTTTCTCTACAGTAGTTGGGCGTGGACCCGTAGGCTCCACCCTCCTTACCTTCAATTCCTCGTTTCCTGTTAGGAAGTCCAGGTCTCCTCTATCCTTTCTTTTCCTCCCGGCTGCAGCTGGTTGGACCTCGCCCCATCCCTCTGTACCTGGCGTTGCTTCCTCCCAGTCCAGGTCTATGAGGTCCCCCTCTTGAATTGCAGCTGGGGCGGATGGCAGTAAATCCGCAGCCTTCCCTTCCTTCTCATGGTCCTCCTTTGGGGGGGGGTTGCTCCCCTCCCTTGGTTGCTCCGGCAGGTGCTGTGTCGATGCATCGGCGATGCATCCGGGTTTCCACTGCCTTTGCATCCTTCGCTCCTCCTCTCTTCTTCCCCTTCCTCTTCTTGCCTGGGGGGGAACGCAGGCAGGCCCTCCGGAGGGCCTGCCCGCCTCCGCGCAGACGGGGCAGTTGGCCGCCCGCGGGCACCCCTTGGCGCGATGGCCGGGGGTACCGCAGCGATAACATAGATCGCTGCGGTCGACGGCGCTCGTGCACCGCTCGCGCACGTGTCCCGGTAACAAGCACCGGAAACACAGAACTGCGCGAGCGGGCAGCGCCGTCACCCCGGCCCGGGCCTACCCTACGTGGACCCGTTCCGCGGCGGCGACCTTTGCGGCCGCCGCCAACGGACACCGCACCACTATTGCGCCCGTTCCCCGCTAGGTGATGCTCATCTCGCCCGGGGAAATTACCTCGGGCGAGCACCCCCCAGCGCGGGCCACGGCGGCCGTCACTTCGTCGGCCCCGGTTGTCGCATCCAGGCCGGCAAGTCGCAGCGCTGCGACTTTTACCGGTCTCTGGATGCGAAAACCGGGGCCCATTTCCGCCGTCAGCTTGCGGAGCTCGTCCGCAAGCCGGTCGGCGGATGCCCCGACGTTGAGGCCAGGCACCTCAATCAACAACGCCCCGCTCAGGGCCCGGCGGACCTTCAGGGATGTCCCGATCCCTAGGTCCGCCGGGATGACGCGGCGCCTGGCCTCAACCATAAACCTGTTATATTCCCCCTCGGGGCATATGACAGTGACAGCCGCTGAGCGCGGCGGCCTAGGTCTGCCCCGTCCCGCCACTGCGGCCCCCCTTCCCCCGGGTCTAGTCTTTGGAGGAGGAGGAGGAGGAGGGGTCGACTGACCGGCCGGGCCATTCGTCCTCCTTTCCTCCTTTTTCCTCCTCTGCTGCTCCTTTCTGCCGACTACCTGTGCCCAGGTTTCTTTCGGCTCCTGGCCAACATGGAGCGCCCACCTCAGCGCCTTCTGGGCAGAGTCGAAACTTGCGTCCATTAGGTCCTTAGCCGCAATGCTTTTGCCTCCTTCACGGGCCCTCTTTTCTTCCTCCTCTTTCATCATCTTGGTCCTGATCTTCCTCCTCTTCTTATTTTCTTTCTTCCTCTCCTTCTTTCCCCTGCCCTTCTGTCCTCCAGGTGCCTCGGGGACTATCCTTACCTCTTTGGGAGGGGCCGCTTCACGTATCCCACTCCACTTTCCTGGTCCTGTGTAGGGGGTGGGTATCGAGGTTCCCGACGCCGCCGACGTCCCGACTCCAGGACCTGCGGCCGCAAGGCGGTCGACCACGGCTCTGAGCCGGTCGACCTCCGCCTTGCATCCGCAGTCCAGGAGCCGGACTCCCATAGCAGCGTCGAGTTCCTTCTCCGCCCCTATCGTCTTCACCATGGGGGGAGGGGTTTCCCTCAGGTCCTCCATGGTGTCGTCCAGGACTGGGATGTCCAGGTCCTTCCTCCCTATTATGGTGGGTGTGGGAGTGGAGGGAGGGGTTGTGGCTATTTTCCTCTTCTTCTTCGTGCGCCTCTTAACCTTTTCCCTCCCCTCCCTTTCCTTCCTCCTCTTTTCCTCCTCCTCACTCATCACAGCCGATAACGACGAAGACGACCCCCGGTCACTTCCGCGTAGGTCAGCCTCCTCGACAAGACTGGTGGAGAAGAAGCAGCCGCCGGAGAAGCCTTAGGAATCGACGTAGCGACAAGTCGCTTCGTCCATTCCAGCTCCTCCGCCAGCCGCCTGTTCTCCACCCTCATCTTCTTCAGCTCCTCTCGAAGCTCTTCCGCCTCCCTCTCAGCCAGGGTAACGTCCCCATCCTTCTCCCTGCTAGTCACCCTGGCCATCAGGGTGGTGAGCACGGCCTCGGAGACCCCCACGGCGCGATTCAGCGCTCCCATGAAGTCCCTTTAAGGGTCTTGGACCTCCGCGAGACCAGCCGAATCGCGCCGAGGGCGCGACCTACCTCCGAGGCCAGCTCACTCACCCTTGCTTCCCTCAGGAGCCCCATAGCGGCACTGTCCCTAAACACCTCCTCCATGGGGCGTTTATCACCGAGAGACCGGAGCATCCCTGCGTCCAGTATCGCCTGGATCTCTTTCTCCAATCTTGCCCTCTCCGCCTTCTTCTTCTCTTCTTTTTCCGCCTCCTTTCTCTCCCTTATCCCAACGCCGTGACCGGTGACGACGGGCCTACCGCGTCCCCTCTTCACCTGTATCAGCGCTGGACCCTCGGTGACGACGCATGAGCCGCTGCTACTGCTCGCATTGGAGCTTGTCGGCTCCCTGGTCCTCTTCCCTAGTCGGGATGCCGGGATTCTCGAGTCCTGCGAGAGCAGGACATCGGAGATGACCACCGGCCCACCGGTGGTCTTCTCCGATGCCCCTTCGTCCCTCGCAGGCCCCGAGGTCCCAACATCCCGACTCCTATCCTGATGTCCCCTCTTAGAACAGAGGGGACCAGGTTTCTCGGCCGCTGGTACCGGAGATCCAGACCCTGACCCCTTCTTACTACATCGTTGGGTGGCCGCTCGTGTCGTCCTACCCGACGAGCTCACCTCGCCATCCCCGCGGTCAGGGAGGCGCAGTGTCGAGGACGGTGGTCGATCCTCTATAAGCAACCCTCCAGGGGCTAGCCCCCTGGAGTTTGCTCGCTCTACCTCCCCGGGGGAAGGGAGGAGGCGCCTGCCATGCAGTTTCCTACTACCTCTTTCCCCTCCTTTCCTACCTTCAAAAAGTCACCCACCAAGGTGGGTGGTTGGTCCAAGGACGGGCTGCTACGCCCGTCCATTAGCGACCGTGAGTCCGAAGACTCAGAGTCCGAAGACTTGTTGGGTTTTGTTTTTATAAATTTGGAATCCATTTTGAGTCCCACGAGTGCGGCAGGAATGGGTCGTCAACCCCGGGCAGAGCCCCCGCATTGCCCGGGATAAGGCTAGCGTGTCGCCTGGGTTCGCCAGGTGGCCAGGGTGAGGAACCACTAGCGACAGGTCACGCACCTGCCATTCATCCCATAGGCGTGGCATGCCTCAACCGTAGGATTACGTGGTGTTTTATAGAGGACCCGCCTCGCGGTCCGGCCGATTAAGGCAAGACCCCCGGCCCCAGAGACATGACCTAGGGTTACGGTGTGATAGGCTAGGGTCTGCCGGGGAAGCCTGAGCCCCCTGTACCAGAATGCCGAAGCATCCTGGCCCCTCGCAATCGTGTCAGGTTATACGTCCTGACAAGTACGAGTTTGTAATCAGGGTTTTCCTTCCCCTAGAACGGTTGCCTTCACCCGGCTCACGAGCCCGTTCTGCCCGCGCTGTAAGGTCCTTTGGGTCGCACAAGTACAAGTACAAGTGCGATCCTCCGGTCCCTGTATGAAACTTGGAGGCAGCTGCCCCTCCGAGAGTGAATAAGGACGCTCTTAGTCTGGCCTCTCAGTACAGATCTCTCCGGCATGGTAGAACCTGCCAGGGGTCGAAACCCCCGCCGGCACAGCTCTGTACCTCATCGGGGCACGCAAGCTCCCCCACCACGGCAAGGTGGCGTCCACGGGGGAGTATTCATTATAGTCTATTAATTTTTTGAAAATATATATCGGTGAAATATAAATACATCTTGTCAATAGACATTTGAAGGAAGTTGAAAATTAAGTAATTATCCAATTTAGACTTTCACTTCCGATTTGGTTGAAATTCACATATTTATATTGTATCATATTTTAATGCATAGTAATCATATTTGAAAGTCAAAATAGTCGCTCTACACCGCAAAGAAAGATATAAATAGTTAAAGTTGACTAATATTACAGATTACGAAATTTGTTATTGCGACAAATTATAGCAATTTCATTTATTTTTTTAAATAAAATAAAATAAGAAGGAGGTTAAAGATAGCCGCAGCAAAGTATAAGTTAGTGTTTTGTACAAGTTAGGAGAAGAAAGTATTCTGCTGTTAATTGCACAAAAGACAAGAAAATTGGATGAAACTAATTGGTAAAAAATTTAATTCCCTTATACTTTGTACTTACCTCAAACCACTTTGTTATTTGATTTTTTTTTTTTAATAAAAGTAGAAGGTTTCAGATAGTCACAATAAAGTACAAAGTCATTAAGACAAGAAAATATTTTGCTATTTATAACAAAAAAAATAAATCAAATAATAAGGAGATTTGGGACAATCGTAGTAAAATACGAAGGAGTTAAGTTTTTTAATTAGTTTCACCCAACTTTCCTGTTTTTTTGTACAATTAACAGGAAAGCACTTTCTTAGCCTAATTCTTTTGTACTTTGCTGCGGCTATCGCTAATTTCCTTGTTATATAATTACAAAAAAATTAGTAAATCAAACAACTGCTATAATTCATTATTATGACAGGTTTCTTAACCTATTATGTCAGTCAATTTTAATTATTCATATTTCATTTCGCAGTGCAAAGTGACAATTTTGGTTTTCACATTAGATTGCTTTGGCTAGGAAAGTAATTATAAGATTCATAAAGTACATACCTATATATTTTGCTTGATTCGTATTAATATGATTTGAAATATAAATCACATGTAAATAAACCGCGTCCTTCTCTACTCATGAGCTAATCGGATCTATTTGATTGCTCCGAGGACACGTTTCATAAATCGGATTAGTCTTGTTAATCGGATTAGGGAACTTTTCCAAAGTTAGTTTATATCACTGCTTCCAATTCGATTACAAATCAGATTGCTAGAAGTAAGCACCCTAAGCATCGTGTGCCGCTGGCTTAACTGTTTTCCTTATTGGATATTATTTAAGATCGTCTTAAATTCATTTTCAGTTATTGTGTAATCAATAAAATGAACTGTACAGAATTGGAAAATGAAATTCAAACTAAAATATAAGATCAGATTATGAATATCGGCTCTAAATATTCCAGTGAACGTTGAATCGGATTTCGATACGATATTCATTTTTTGCTGGGTACTAAGAAAATTGGTCGATCAAAGTCAAATATTTCGATCATAAGATTAACACAAGTATACACGGTTTTAGACCTGAGCAACCAAAAGCTGTTTCTAAGATAATTTGGGGCGCTGAATCCGAATTTTCAATTCGTTTTTTAAGATTGGTTCTAGTTTACGAGATATTCAATAAATTCATTTTTTATTATTTTTGACAATTAATGGCTATATTATTCAATTAAAAGTTATAAATCAGAAATGAAGAGCAGTAAAACTGAGTCGTTTGTATTGTTTGGGATCCGTTTCACGCATTAGAGTCCAACAGTAGTCGCTCATCATGCCATCATCCCAAAATCCTTGGTATCGTCTTTCGATTTTCGCCATATCTTGGTGTAGCCGCTCTCCTTGCTCGTCGCTCGTATCGCCTAAGTTTTCAGGGAAAAAATCGAGATGTGAATGCAAGAAATGAATTTTGAGAGACATTCGAGCTCCAATCTTGCGGTAATTTTGCAACAAATTGCGGATTATTTGCTTAAAATCCGGGGATTTGCGGTTACCGAGAAAGCTGTGAACAACACTTTGAAATGATGCCCATGCTGCCGCTTCATCGGGCATTAAACATTTTGTAAAGTTCCCATCGGGCATTAATTTTCGAATATCAGGTCTGACAAATATTCCTTCTTTGATTTTTGCGTAGGACAATTTGGGAAACAACTTGATTAAATACTGAAAAGCCGGTCCCTCATGGTTGAGCGCTTTGACGAAGTTCTTGATAAGGCCAAGTTTGATGTGAAGAGGTGGCAGGAAAATGTCCCGTGGGTTCACAAGTGGTGCAGAGGAGACGTTTTGTTTTCCTGGCTCATAATTACTACGACTTGGCCAATCTTTTCTCACATAATGATGGTCAATTGCACGGCTATCCCACAGGCACAAAAAGCAGCAAAATTTGGTAAATCCAGATTGCATCCCAATCAAGAGACCAATCACCTGTTGGAATAATATGTAAATCAATTAATGTTTCAGATTTAATTAGAATAAATTTTCAAACCTTTAGATCGCCACAAATTTTCCATTGATGCTCATTATATTTTATCTTGGCCAAGATCTTACGCATTGTGTTGTAGCATTCCTTCGTTTGTACTGCATGAGCAATCGGAATGGATGGTTTTTCATTTCCATTGTGTAGCAGAGCAGCCTTCAGGCTGTATTCCGAACCATCGATGAACAAACGTCATTCATTTCGATCATACGGTGTATTCATCACATCAAATAAACCGTTGATGTTATCGCAGAAACACATGTTCTCTTCTTTTTTGAAAAACGGTAGAAGCGCCTGATTTCTATTTCTATATACAGTGACTTTTGTTCGAGTGTCAAGATATTTCCACTCCTGCAACCGTGATGCAAGCAACTCTGCTTTTTGTTTCGATAAATTCAAATCACGAATCAAATCACTGAGTTCACTTTGCGAAATTAAATGCTTTTCTTCCATGACAAAATCGCTTCCACTGCTCGACGGCGATGAAGTCGAAGTTGCCTGGGCATTTGCACTTATACCTGGACAAACTGGCAATGGATCATTGCTCGTACGTGGAACTGGCTTGGACACTGATGATACGTCAGGATATTTATACTGTGCTAGTTTTTTTGCATTTATACCGATAACATTCATCAAGCAAAAGTAGCAATCATCTACATGATTCTTTGGTTCTCTCCATAGCATTGGCAATGAAAATGAAAAGTACACATTTTCACCGAGTGACCACTTGTTCAGCTTTGTTCTGCACGCGTTACAAAAACATTTCGGCACCCACGGCTTGTTAGTGTTTGCTACAGAGAAACCAAAGTAATGCAAATACGCATCTCTGAGCTCATTTGTCATTATTTTGCCGCTTTTCCCGAGCATATAACATCCGCAAACGTAACAAAAACACTTTGAATCGACTTTGCAACGCTGTCTCTGCATTTTTACACGTTCTTAAACAAAAACAATACCATTTGAATACAATTGAAATGATTTTTCTAGCGACGTCCTCATGAGAGTCGTTATGACAGTGCAATGCTGCCAACATGCGAGAACTCGAAAACTAGAACCAATCTTGACAAACGGATTGAAGATTCGGATTCAGCGCATCAAATAACGTTAAGAATCGTTCTTACCTGCTCGGGTCCAAAAGTTGACCGGAATTTGTAAACTTGTGTAATTGATGATTTGTTGATTCGCTTATTGTTTACATCTTATTGGTTAAGTTCGTACGCCACAGTCCAATGGTATTCGAATACATATGACATGTATATGTGGTCTGTTATTTTCACTTGTTCGCAAGCTAACTACACTTACATTCACTGAAGGCAGTAAAGTGTGAAAATGACTGGTTTTGCCAAAAAAATGCGATTCTATTAGGAAAAATATAAGAGAAGAGAATATAAAAAAATTTGAAAATGACGAAAGAGTTAAAGAAAAGAGAGGCAAGTGAATCTCGATTTACATTTATATTAGTTTTTCTGGTAATCATTGGGTTGCACAATAAAATTTAACTTAATACTATTATCTCTTTCTTTACGTACTTGTTCCTTGTGACACATCTCTTTTCATCATTACAATCTATTTTATTTAATAAAATATTTGGTCACATTTTTAGGTTATATTTTAGGTTATACTTGATCTCAAATATTTAATACAATACTAAATATAGTATTTTCTATATTAGAGAAATGTAAACACAAATAGCTGCTTTAAAATGTGGAAAAATTTTAATCTTGAATATGATCATCCGAATACCTCAAAATGATATTTTCCTACTGGGATATAAGTTTTTAGAACAAGAAGATTATTATAATTTTCCTATTGCATCTTCAGAACTTAGAATTGTTAAAGTCTCTCTAGAAAGCGAAAGAACTGCTTATAAAATTAAACATTTTTTTTGTAAATGCGTTCTTTTTCCGGACAATAACGAAACATTTGTATGCATTCCTTTTGTACACTGCAATAATCATTAAAATGCTAGTAAGAACAAATTCTATATTTTTTTATTTTATTATACAAATTATATCTTGTAGGCCAATGTTTTATTTTTCTTTTCAGTTTGCACTTGTGGAATTTAATGATTCATGTAACGAATCTGAGACACTAATAGGAGTAATTCCTTCTAAATGGCTCTTTGATAACAATACTATGTGCAAATATCCACCTAAAAAAGATAAACTTAAAACTACCCGTTTGATTCTGTCAAGAATCGACCCAGGACAAGATTGGGATATTTATAATCTTCGATTGCATCATTATTATAGTAATTTCATAACTTTTTCAGATATATTACCATATATTTTACTTTTAAATACAGAGTTATTTCAATGCCGATATACCTAAAATATACCCAGTAAGCAAAATGCTAGCAGAATGCGCGCAGATTGACGCCAATTTCGATCAGATCTCCACATCAAAACCATAGCCATCTGTGTCCTCATTAGGCTCGTGTTTTGTCGACAGGACCTGTACGACAGGCCGTGCGAGCAGATTGTCAGCAGAAACCGCGCAGGTCCTGCTGCCAAACTACGCGTAGAGTCTGCGCGCAGAGTTTGCTCGGTTTCTGCCGCCAATCTGCCATCAAATTACTGCAAGTCTTGCACGGTTTTTGGTACAAATCTGCCGTCAAATAGCTCCGACAGCAGGATCTAGAGCCCCATATTTGACCGCAGATTGGCAGCATAATTTGATATAATAGATTCTGCGTTAAATTTGTTGCCTATTTGCCATCAAACTATGATAGCAGGCTTTGTTCGAAATATGCTCGTGCAGGTTTGGCTACCTGGGTAATTGCACTTTATTATATTAACAAATAAGTTTTACCCAGCAAACACGGTGACGTCGAAATGACGTACCTTTGCGTCATTTGTTACGTCATTAGTAACCAAGAAAAAACGTTATAAAGACGCACAAATAACGTCGAAATGTCACATCCCAATGACGTGATTTTAATTCGTTTTTAAGACGTCACTATGTACCAAACAGAAACGTCACTAATACGTCATTAATACGTTTTAATGACGTAAAAAACACGTTGCAGTATAGGGTAAAAAGCACCTGCGTATACACAGGTACAATAATTTTCAATAGTTTAAATACCAAATAATTTAATATATTTTTATAAATAGCAAAACAATCTGTGAGAAAAATATACATTGTATGCTTATAATACTATATACTCTTACATACTTTAAAAATATAGTTGAGGTACATTTTCTCTTATTCTATAAATATGTTACCAGTGGGGAATGACTAATCATGATCAATCTGAAGTCTATTGTTACATCGATTCAATGTCAAATAAATGTAAAATAAGCTTAAAATTCTATTTTGAGATCAACTCGATATTCTTTATCAATCATTCCTCACTGGAATTATATCTATGTTATTATAAAAATATCAGTCATTCAATGTGTGCAAAAGTGGGAATGATATATGTCTATTTTGAAATGGAAAAACAAAACATTAGCACTCGACATCTAATAAGTTCCAACGTTCCGAGTTGTCAGATAATTTTTCAATTACAAAAATGTTTAATATTTCTAAATTAAAAGGATAACTATATAGAGATTCATATTTGCAAAACTTTTTTCCTATTATAAGGACAGTATCTTCAGTTTTTATAAAATTATGTATTTCTATAACTTGAGTGCCAATCATGCAGTAACAATTTGCTTTCGAATAATTATTAATAGTTAAAACACAATCTCTAAAATAAACCTTTTTAAACTATTTGTAGGATAACATTGTGGCAATTGTTGGGCCCAAGCAATGCTTTATCAAACATGAAATATTATTCAGTTCAAATGATTGTTTCTCGCCTTGTTCTGAAAATTTATTAATTTGTTTTAATTTGTTACAAATTTGAATTAAAGGTTGTTTTGTACATTTAACAAGACGAAGAAAGTATCCTAAAAAATTTTCAAAAGGAAAAGCTGCAAAGTTATCAAGTTCTCCATACGTCGAAACATCTTCTGGCAAATGAATTAAGCAATGAACATTATAAATAAGAAATTCAGAATTATATAGATGTTCACTATGTTGAACAAATGTTTTTAGAAGTATAGAAGCCATTTCACATCCTAATGTTGCAATGTGCTTCTCAGAACATAAAATAACTACAGCCGAATGTAAAAGTATGAAGTGTTCATAAATGGAATGATCTACGAGGGTGGTCCGATAAGTACTTAGCCTACAAATGAAAGACGAAAATTTTGGAAAAGTGGCGATTTATTTCTCAACATAGTTTCCTTTTAGCTCGATACACTTGACCCAGCGATGCTCCAACTTCTTTAACCCGTCTGAAAAATACGTTTTCTCGAGGTCTGCAAAGTAAGCCTCCGTGGCGGCGATGACCTTCTCATTCGACTCAAATTTCTGCCCGGCGAGTGACTTTTTCAAGTTTGGAAACAAAAAGAAGTCGCACGGGGCCAAATCTGGAGAATACGGTGGATGGGGCAGCAGTTCGTAGCTCAATTCGACCAATTTGACCGTGGCGAGGGCGGAGGTGTGAGCCGGTGCGTTGTCATGGTGGAAGAGCACTTTTTTCTTCGCCAAATGGGGCCGTTTTTTCTGCAATTCGGCGTCGAATCGGCCCAATAATTAGGCATAGTACAGCCCTGTGACCGTTTTGCCCTTCTCCAGGTAGTCGATGTAGATTACACCTTGTGAATCCCAGAAAACGGTGGCCATCACCTTTCCGGCCGATAGGACAGTCTTCGCCTTCTTCGGAGCACGTTCGCCGGGTGAAGTCCACTGTTTCGACTGTTCCTTGGTCTCTGGTGTGTACCAGTGGATCCATGTTTCGTCGACGGTCACGAAACGACGCAGAAACTCCTTCGGATTGCGCTTAAACAGCGTCAAACACTGCTCTGAAGTGGTCTCACGGTTGCGCTTGTTGTCCGGAGTGAGCAAACGCGGCACCCATCGCGCCGACAGCTTTCTAATGCCCAAAATTTCATGCAGGATATGACCCATGCGGTCTTTTGAGATGCCTACTGTCTCAGCTATCTCGCGCACCTTCAATCGGCGGTCTGTCAATACGAGATCGTGGATTTTTGTCATGTTATCCTCCGTGATAGCCGTTTTCGGGGCACCTGGGCGTGGCTCATCAAAAACCGACGTGTGACCACGTTGAAACTCGTTAAACCAATTTTTGACGGTCGCCATCGAAGGAGAAGAGTCACCGTACACAGCATCTAAGCGCTCTTTGATTTCGCTGTGCGATTTCCCTTCCAAAAACGAGAATCGTATCACCGACCGATATTGCTCTTTTTCCATTTTTCTAAAATCCGCGGACACGCCCGCTTCCACACGCGGTCAAAATAAAACTACGAGTCCGATTTGGCTGAAATTTCGACAGTAGCCGTCTACGAGAATGTACTACACGATAGTAAATTTCTCTTGCGATAGTGGCGCCATCGGGCGGTGAGGCTAAGTACTTATCGGACCGCCCTCGTACAATCCCTTTGAAAATAGCTGGACCAATATATAGAAGGAAAGTTCTATTGATTTCTACAGAATAAATTCTGTAGCTTTAAAATGAGATAACTCGTCTAAAGATCGCGGTGTTCGGTTGATTTCATTGGGAACGTTATTGTGTAAAGAAATAATTTTTTCTGATAAACATTTGACTAAATAAGATGACAATCGAACTTTACAATCACCATTAATCCACCAATTTAACAACTTTCGAGTTACACCTAACATAACATATATTGTGCATATAATCAATGGGGAATAAACTAACAAATCCGATATTTAATTTTAATAACGGAGAAATGCCTGTGTGATGATCCTCGTCGATTTGGAGACGAAAAGATTCGTCTGTTCGTAACGGCATATTTATATTTCTTAAAATGACTCGACTTTTGACATATTCTCCTGATTCGGTGCATTTTTCATAACTTGAATATCCTTGATGCGACTTAATACATTTTATGAATGCGCGAGCTGGCGTATCGCATATAAACGAATGTACTACAACATTGTAATGTCTTTCGAACAATGTGAAACCATTTTTCAATAATAGTGATAATTCATTTACGAAATCATTTAAAAAGCTTGAGAGTGGTCGAGGCTTTAATGTCCCACAAAACATTCCAACTGGAAATGGTGTTTTCGATTTTGAATTCTGAATTAAAGACAAAATTGGCCACAGTTGCATATTGCAACTTTTAAACAACGGCAACCCATCTATATTAAATTTTAACTTTATTGTATCTAAATTTACAAATTGTGAAGCGTGCCGGATTATAGCTTTTTTTATTCCAAAGTAAACAAATTGTCCTGTTTCCAATTCTTGAATATGAAATTTTGAAGAAGTTTTCAAAAGCGTTCTTGCATCAACGGGCAATGTGGGATGAAATTTATGTAATAAATGAAGTAATGATGTAAGTGAAGATTGTGATACATCTGGATTCGAAACAGCCCAAGTTCTTAAGCAATCCACGATAGAAAAGTTATTTTCTTTATGATTTTCTACTAGATTTTCAGTAGTATCCGCTTCGTTAGGATTATTTTCTGTAGTATCTGTTACGTTAGGATTATTTTCGTCAAGTATAACGTTTCCAATGAAATCAAGATTCGAATTTTCATTTATGGTTAAGTTATTAGGAATTAATATATTATTATTTGAAATTTCCAAAATATCATTATTGCTTTCAGAGCAAGAATCATCTTCAAAAGACAATGTATTCATCGACATATTGGATAACTCGGCATCACATTTTTGTTTGTCTAATAGATTAAGAATTACATGCATTGAGTTAGCGTCTCTAGCAATTACGTCTGTAGCAACTTTTCGATAAAATTGTCGTTTTCCTACAAACAGTTTGACTTTTCTTTTCATTATAGCAGACATATTACTGCAATTTGTATCTTATTACTTAAGTAATAAATGTAACAGTGAATGTAGTTATCATACACAAACATAAAACATTACGCAAATAAACATAACGCAAATTTTCTTTGGTCAAATTGCTAACAGTTTTTCTCTACAATCACAGACAAGGATATATGTAGGAGTAGAACATCTTATATATATATATAAACCCTTACTTATCCTTCTTTGTCTTAAGGGAAGAGCGTTGTGGACCATTCTTTTACGCTGTTTTCTATTTCGTGTTGCGTACTGCCAGGTAGAGCCAATAGAACAGATTTCATCAATACACTATTGAGTTTCAAATGAGCAAATGCCTTTTTGTTTCGTTTTCCGAGGAAGCTATAAAACGATGCAATTTTATCTGAAAGAAGTCGACGAAGTATACGGTTTGTTATCGATGTTACATCTCCGCGATCTCCAATCGTCGACAGATAAGAAGCCTAAAACGTAAATAATTTATTAACAATATAAAACTATTCAATATGAGCAACTTGTTAAATTTTCACGCGCAATTACTTATTTTACCAGAGGCGAGATATTTTCTTCTTTTTTAAGGTATTCCTCCAATCGGGTAATATCTTCAAATGTGGTTATTGGTAGAGTACAAGGCAGTTGTGGTATTTCATTAGATTTGGATACCGTTACAATGGAATTGTTAGTGGCCTTTAAAACTTGGAACATTTGATCGTTTTGATTGTAAATATCTGTATTCTGTCGTTTTATAAATGCAAGTGTAGCGTTTATATCAGTGAGATTTCTGTTCACGTCAGTTAGAGGTACTTCATTTATACTATTTATAACAGGTACAGAATTTCTTTGAATCACTGAATGTTTATGACTTGGTTGTACAAAATGACTCGTTGTAGGTTTATTATTTGTTTTTGGATGAATTGAGTTTACTAATATTTTATCTAAAATCAATGAACGCTATGAAAAAAATATATAAGTATCGAAAGTAAAATAATGTAAAATTACAGTACTATTACCTGACGGAACTTGACTGCAACTTGTAAATATATTATTAAGTCTAGGAGGAGCTTTAAGTTTCGATGGTACTGGTGTATTTTCTTCATCCGATGAGTCGCTGATATATCTGGAAGGCTTATTCCGCTGTCTCTTACTTGGAATATCTAAAACAGGTTCTACGTCAGTCGCTACATCTGATAAATATTGACACAGTTTTACTTTTTGTTCAGCTTTCTTGAAATCATCTGCAAGCAGAACACAATTCATAAATCCGTGTATATATATACACGGTATATATATATATGTATATATTATACGCATACAAATTACGATGTAGGAATTTGCCCATATAGCACAAATCTTCACAGAACATTCTAAAATGTTCTAAGAACATTCCTATGTTCCAAGAACGTTCTAAAGACATTCTCTGGAGATCTTGTACTATCTAGATGAGTACTTATAGTATAAAATTTGAATGAGATTATAATAAAATCTTGTACTATATATTGAGGTTAAGTTACTTACCGGTTTCAAAATAAGTTTTTGTTACTTGACATAACAACCATTCATTAGTTGGCGTTGCTCCTTGTTTCAATAATTTCTCATATCTATCTTGTGATTTTACAGGTGGCCAAAATACATTAGTTTCATTAGGAGTAAACCAGCGTACGTTCACAATTGCTACTTCCGTATTGTTATTTGCCGAATCTTCGTTAGCGAATTCTACGCCGACAAATGCCATGCTTTAAACATTAATACAAAGAGTCTATAAATGTTTTTTTAAGAGAGGTTAACAATCTCAAAATACTTCTTCTATACATACATAGTACAATGACCAATACTTTCTTGAGTGAATATCTTCTTAACCGTCTTAATCACAATATACAGCTATGTTAATATAGTCCCAACAACGAATCAAAACGACAACTGAACTCCGTGGAAAATTGTCGCTACCTCGAGCAATATGTGAAAGAATCGTGAGATGCGACGAATCGTGAGATATAAACCTATCATATAGTCACTAGTCTGTTCTTGTTAGTGGCGCTGCTGAATGTATATATGCGCGTATTGAATGGTGTTGGGGTACACACATTATTGGTTCCGAGAGCCAACATATTGAAGGAAGGAAGGAACGTGTATACGCGATGCTTTGCAATGACAATTATTTCAGATGTTATAAAATATAGAATCATGTAAAAAAGAATATAGTAGAATAATTCGATTTTTTCCGTGTAAGTTACGCTTTTTAACCAACCGGCACAAAAGTCCAAAAGACATCTATGACAAGAAAATGATGTTAAAATAACGAATGTGCCGGCTTATTACCTTCAGGGCCTTATTACTTTATGTTTAGATCAATTGAGGTCATTAGTCTTAATTTACGTATTTTTCACGTCAATGACACGTCATTAGGGAGTTTTCGCAAAACTGTCCTTCAGATACGGTAAACATAATTCGTGAACGTTATTAGCTTAGAAATAACGTTTTAATGTGCTCGACCAATAACGTTCACGAATTGTGTTTCTGAGTTCACGTATCTGAGTGACGGTATTGCGAAAACTCCCTATTATGTTTGTTAGACGTACAGACCAATAACGAAATTTTATGACGTCTTTATGACGTTCTCTAAACGTCAAGAATTCGTCATTAAGACGTTGTACAAACACGTAATTACGACGTCATAAAAAGGACGTCTTAAATACGTCGTTATTTAGTCATTCGACGTCATTCGTCCAATAATGACCTGTTTTCGACGTCGTTTCGACGTGACTTTGTTTGCTGGGTTAGTATCATGTGTATCTATGTGTATGTTATATTTTTATGTACTTTCTTACTTGTAGATACTTACAATGCTGCTCTCAAAGCGGCTAAACTGTTCTAGAGGGAGAAGTTGCTCGGACAGATGTGGAAACAGATTATGACTAACCAAGAAAGGAAAAAAGAACAAAAAATATATATCCTCTTCAGAAGATGAAGAATTAGACAATGTTGCATTACATATCCCTCGTGATACAAACAGTGAAATACCTGCTCCAAATTCTCTTCTTCCAAATAAGTTCAAAGAACTTATTAAAATTAAATCAGTGAAAATATCTACTAAACAGTCAATAGAAAAAGACACATCTATAGGAAAATCATTATCTTGTAATGAATCAAGTGTTAAGTCATCAGGCCATTTAAAGTTAATTCACCATAATATTACATTAGAGGAAAATCCGATAAAGCAGCATTCTTTACTAAATGAGAATATGTACATGTATATTCATAAATAATAATTATTTATGTGCTTTTAGAATTAAATTTAATAACAATCTGTTTCATCTTTTTCGTAATTGTACAGTTTTATAGTCTTTTTATAATTTTAGCTGTACAACAAAAATATTGCTCTCCTAAATATTGTAATACAGAAATGTCGGACAAAGTGATCGTAGAATCATTGCAGTCAAACAAGACAAAACCTCTTAGAAAATTGCATAGCATCTCTCAACATTTAGATAAAGAGAACTATCTTAATTTTCCTAATAGTAAGTTGTCATTTTCAAGTAATAACGATATTTTTATATTAATTATAGATGATTTTATTCCTGCAAGCTTTTGTATAATTTATTTTGTGGACGGTTATAGCTTCTCCAAAGTAGTCTCCTCAATTGAATACAGATGATGATGAACAATCTACTACATCAAGACCAAATAGTTATACAATGTCCATGAGCATACTGCCTGTACATATGGAGCAGAATCTCTTTAGGAAGAAACTAAATGCTTCTCCAAATAACAAAGCAAAGTCATCTCTCTTTGATGAATGTAAATAATTTTACATTTTTTTATTATACTTTCTTCAGTACATTATCTTGCATTGAAAAAAAAATATATATGGCAGATGTTATGCCTTTCTCTCTTTGACACGCGCACGCGGGCAAAAACACTTACTCTCTGTCTCTTTCTCTGTCTATCTGTCTGTCTCTCTCTCTCTCTCTTAGCTGCATAGTTCCTCTCTTTAAATAAAATTATAATTATATAAATGTGAATATGTTCATATTTTTATTATATTTTTATTATGTAATCAATATTGAAAATAAAATAACAATTCTAATGTTAATTCAGATGATAGGAACAATGAACATAAAAAAATGTATCTGATACAATGAACTGCGAAACTCTACAAGATGAAAATGAAGATGTTTTACAATAAAAAAAGACTTTAATGTCAGTAGATAATGAGAAAAATCTCCAAATTCACCACTATCCCAAAGTAATTTAATTTTCTCTACAATCTCACGCTTCAGAAGTAGTTTTCATAAATATTATTTTTCCTAATATGTTATACGTTTATTAGGTTTATTAAATGCAGAACGCGATTTACTGATAACAACATTAAACCATTTTAAGAAGCTTCATGGTAATAATTTCCTTTATTCTAATTCATATAACTGCAATATACAGGGTGTTCCGCAGCAACATATACAAAATTCGTGGAGGCCTAGCACGGCTTGAGATGAGCATAAAAGTCCCATACCGTTTTGCGATAATCGTAATAGTTTTCGAGAAATTAATTAAAAACGTCCAGCAATAGCGTCCGCCGAGATGTGTAAGAGTCGAGCCGCCCGAGTTTCAGGCCGGTCCACTCAACCCATAAGTAGACACCGGCGCGCGGCGAGGGGAGAAACAATAGACCAGTGCCCGCGCTTGCGAGGCTTCTCCTTCTACGCCTTGCCGCACCGCTCCGCACCGTACCGAAACTCGCAACGATGTCGCCGAGCCGCGAACGTTCGCGATTACAATTATGATTACTTAATAAGAGAGCAAAAATAGCTCCAATTATTGAAACAGTTATAAGCAATGTGTGATAAAAAAGAATGGAAAGAGTGAAAGCGATGGAAACCGACAGAGTGTGCAGACAATTTAATTATTTTCTGTCGTAATCTATCGTTCGCTATTAGAAGAGTATTCAATCGTTCATTCGTATCGAAATATGATAGAATTTATACAGAAACTTTACGCGTCCTATCGTTTTATTGGACTCTATTATGAATAGATCACTGAAAATCTGTCGTAATCATTGGGTGCATAAACGATAGGTGAAACTTGTAGTTCTCTACGCATACGTACGAAAGGAAACCTATCGTTGTCAAATTTGTTATTTTTTCTCCTACTTTATGTAAACGAAATGATAGCATATGTAAGAAATTCAAAACGTTTAGTAGAAAGGAAAAAAATATTAAATTCAGTTCTTTAGTAATGCGTACAACTTTTAATTTATTACACGATTGACAACGATGTATTTCCTTTCGTACTTATACGATAGAGAACTACGAGTTTCTCCTACATAGTAAAAAACGATTCGTACTTGTGTTAAAATTTTTTGTGTGTTGAAAGTTTTGTGTTAAATTTTTTACATAGTGCTGTGTTGATTTAACATATCATCGCAGTGTTACTTAGACTTTCCTTGTTACATTAAGATTAACTATTTCCAAGTGTTAAAATAATACAATTTATATGTAAATGCATTTATTTTAGTTAATACAACATTATACGTATGTCAATTTAACACAAACGATTCCACAAACACAAATGATTCCTGACATTCAAATGTTAATTTTTTTACATATTATACGTGTTACTTTTTTACATAATCGCTTTGTGTTAAATTAACACATAAATGAGTGTGGATGATTTGGGACACACGTACCGCACCGAAACTCGCGCCGATGTCGCTAAACGTTCGCGATTACAATTACGATTACTTAATAAGAGAGCAAAAATATCTCTAGTTATTGAAACAGTTATAAGCAGTGTGTGATAAAAAAGAATGGAAAGAGTGAAAGCGATGGAAACCGATAGAGTGTGCAGACAATTTAATTATTTTCTGTCGTAATCTATCGTTCGCTGTTAATAAGAATATTCAATCGTTCGTTCGTATAGAAATATGGCAAAATTCATAAAAAGACTTAACGCGTCCTATCGTTTTGTTGGAGTCTATTATGAATAGATCACTGACAATCTGTCATAATCAATGGTATATTAACGATAGGAGAAACTCGTAGTTCTCTATCGTATAAGTACGAAAGGAAATATATCGTTGTCGATAGATAGATTACGACAGAAAATAATTAAATTGTCTGCACACTCTATCGGTTTCCATCGCTTTCACTCTTTCCATTCTTTTTTATCACACACTGCTTATAACTGTTTCAATAATTAGAGCAATTTTTGCTCTCTTATAGTAATCGTAATTGTAATCGCGAACGTTCGCGACATCGGTGCGAGTTTCGGTGTGGTTTGTGTGTCCCAAATCATCCACACTCATTTATGTGTTAATTTAACACAAAGCGATTATGTAAAAAAGTAACACGTATAATATGTAAAAAAATTAACATTTGAATGTCAGGAATCATTTGTGTTTGTGGAATCGTTTGTGTTAAATTGACATACGTATAATGTTGTATTAACTAAAATAAATGCATTTACATATAAATTGTATTATTTTAACACTTGGAAATAGTTAATCTTAATGTAACAAGGAAAGTCTAAGTAACACTACGATGATATGTTAAATCAACACAGCACTATGTAAAAAATTTAACACAAAACTTTCAACACACAAAAAATTTTAACACAAGTACGAAACGTTTTTTACTGTGTAGGAGAAACTCGTAGTTCTCTATCGTATAAGTACGAAAGGAAATACATCGTTGTCAATCGTGTAATAAATTAAAAGTTGTACGCATTACTAAAGAACTGAATTTAATATTTTTTTCCTTTCTACTAAACGTTTTGAATTTCTTACATATGCTATCATTTCGTTTGCATAAAGTAGGAGAAAAAATAACAAATTTGACAACGATAGGTTTCCTTTCGTACGTATGTGATAGAGAACTACAAGTTTCATCTATCGTTTATGCACCCATTGATTACGACAGATTTTCAGTGATCTATTCATAATAGAGTCTAATAAAACGATAGGACGCATAA